GGGCCTGTCACGAAACGGGCTGGGAGCAGGTCCAGCCCATCCATACTTAGTTGCGAACACAGTCGCTGTGTTTTTTCCTAGTCTGTTATTAACTTTTTACATGCACATGGTACATTTGTCGCAATTAATGAACCAATATTGGTACACTATTATTATTATTACTATTATTATTTTTACTATTATTATTATTATTAACTAAAGTCTATAATGAATTCAGATTTCCATAATTTTTGCCTAATTTCTTTTTTTTTTAATTTCAGGATCCCATCCAGGAAACCACGTTATACATAGTCTGCTCTGTTTTTTATTAGTTCAACAGAGAGAGAGAGAGAGAGAGAGAGAGAGAGAGAGAATATGAATATTTCTCTTCTTCTATTCAGCCAATTAAGGGTGAAATCCTGTAAATTACTGTTCTCATATTCTCTAATGTAAAATAAAAAGGCGCATGTAAATATATTAGTCTGGAGTTTTAATCATGAGAAAAATATTGGGAATAAGAGCACGTTTAGGTTAAAAAATATTTCGGCATTTGGAGGCACCTAGAAACGTGGTCTCTAATTTCAACATGGATTAACGAAGCCTAAAAAATCAGGGTGGTGTGTGAATTTGGGGGTACTCACAGGCAGCTCGCACAGGGCTACAGAAAGAGAGAACACTGTGTCCTTCATCGTCATTTACATGAGGGGCGCTGGCCTTTTAAAAATCCACAGAAATGCAGTTAGAATTTCCTTGCCAATATTTGTACAAAACATTTTCGAATTAAGACTGATTCGTCTTATTCTGAAGTGAATTGTTAGATCACGAGAGAGAATGTTAAAGCGTTGGCATTTCTTATAGAAATGCCAAACGTTTTCCTCCGCCTGATGTTGTACTATAAATAGGGGAATTCAAATGCTAAAAATGTTCTCCAAGTCTCCAAACATAGTTCGTTAGCATCTACTTCCTACTACGAATGAGTCAGTCTTCCAAAGTTGAAAATGAAAGCTAGCTGCTAGCTTCACAGAGAAACATCGTAGCGTACCCCAAGTAATTAAAGGGAAGAGACGTTTCGTTTATGTGTATTTCTTTGTCCTCGGATCATACCCTGAAATGCTTCCTTAGACTGTCACTGAAGTTTTATTAAAGGTGGGCAGGACTGAGGGATCCCAGACGTAGCTCACTGATGTCTCCTCTGTACCTGGTTGCCTGCTACGACCTTAAGTTGTCTCATCGCTCTTAAGACAGCACTGCTCACAAGATGTCACTAGACGTTCATCTCAACCTGAGTGAATAAATAATTGCGGAAACTCTACATCAAGCTTTGGAGGGGCACAGTTAGCGCCCCCTGGAGCACACTTTGGGAAGTGCTGGGTTAAGGCGGGGCCTCCAGGAGGCTGCTGTCTGCGTGCCCATGGCAGGTGCCACAGAACAGACGTCAAACGCCCCTCTCGTTGGCACATCGGCTTGAAGGGTGGCCTCTGTCAGCGCCGGCAAGGCGAGTAACACCACCGGCCTCAGGACCCTCGTATGCCAAGAGGCATGGGACCCTCCCAGAGAACAGGGTGTTGAGGAGAGGGCCGGCAGCCCCTGGCCTGGCTCCTGCGTGCGGGGTGATGCCGTGCAGGCGGCCGCTCAGCGCAGCATGGTGCCCAGCAGCATCGACCCGCACCCACGCGGAATTCTAGAAGGACAAACATTGCAACTTCTGCTGACGAAGGGTATATGACACCGATAATGTGACATGATGTGTGCGCCTCGGGGGGATGGCAGGGGGTCTCTAGACCAAAAGGCAAGTGACAGTCCAGGAGGTGCCCGTGGCTGGGTGCATGAAGCTCTAAGCCCAGACTCCTGCGCAGGTGACCCCGACGCCAGTGCCGTCTACCCTCGCTGCCTGTGGACCTCGGACACGTTACTCACCCTCTCTGAGCTTCAGCTTCCTCTTCCGTAAAGTGGGAATAATAATAGCAGTAGCAAAGTAGGTAGATTCAACGATTTAAAATTTGCAAAGTGCCGAGGCCTGTGCTCGCCTCAGAGAAAGTACAATCCAAGTGTTTGTTAAGTGAAACCGTGTCGTTAGGTGTTTACTCCCCTTCGCCTCTGTCGGTGCGGTTCCCTTCGTAACAGACAGAGACGACGCACAGCACCGATGAGACGAGACCTCTCGCTCCTGGCTTTGAGACGGCCGGGCCTGACTGGGTCTAGGGGCGCAAACGCCCAGACCTGGCCACTCTGCTTTCAGGGGCGCATGAGCCGACACGGCTGCCTGTGAGCCCCTGCTCTCTGGAGGGCTGCGGTCACGTGCCACGGACAGCCAGGTCGCCGCCAGCGCCTGCTGACGTCCAGGCCCCGGGGACACGGGTTACTGTAGGTGCCAGCAGAAGAGGAACACAGGCGCAGGGCGGGAGGCGGGGCTGCAGAGCCACAGACAGCCGGGTCACTGCGAACGGCCACCAGGCCTCCCACAGCAGCGCCTCCGAGGAGCCCGCCTGCCTCGGCCCCGCAAGAGACCCGCGACTCGGTGGTTACAAACAATCAAATAAAAACTGCTCTAAGACCAGACAAAATACATGTACCAAACAGACTGAAGCAACCCAGGTGAAGCTTGGTGACACCTCGGTTCATTTCTCTTGGTTTCTCTGGTCTTTACTTGAAAATATCATCATATAAATATATTCGATATGTTCTTAAAAGGTTATACAAACACTTCTTTAAAAAGGTTGTCGACCACATTGCAAAGGATGAGACGTTTAAAAACGACGGAGCAGACACTGCACGTGGGTGTCACGGTGCCAGCGTCACAAACCTGCCCCGCGGGCAAGGCCAGCTCGGGCAAGGCCAGCTCTCACGCCGAGAAGGGTCTGCAGTGACCCTTCGCCGCCACTGCCGTTTGAGAAACGTCATGATCTGTGCGATGACGTTCCTGAGAAACGACGCGGGGGTTTCTTACAGACACGGGCCACGACGGCAGCATGACACACGTCCGCGCGTGAGGACGGGCGCCGTGACCTTGGCCACGGCCACCTGCTCCAGGGACGGTCTGCTCCGAACCTTCGCTTCCACGGCTGCCGCCTTTCAGTGACAAACATCTGGGGCGTGGCCCCCCCACCCTCGTCCCCGGCAGCGCACCCCTCACCCCTCACCCGGGGCACGTCCTGGAATGCGCATCGCGGGCGGCCCCCGTCTGCCTCCGTGAGTCACCAGATGAGGTGCCCGGGTTGGTTTCCACTCACTCACGCTGCCACGCGGATGCCAACGCGTGGGCAGCAAGGCCAAGGCCGCTCTGCGTGTTTCTGAGTGTCCCTCAGCTCTCACGATTCCCGTCCCTGTCGTCACGTCCTCCCCATGATGTACGAGCGGAATGAGGAGTTGCTCACTGGCAGGGACACGGTGGCCCCAAATCATGGCCCCCCCTACCCTCCCGGGAAGCTATTAAAATGTGTTTTTATTTTTTTAATTTATTTTTTTATATGAGGCGACCCTTGGCCGACCTCACAGATTGCAAGGACCTTGTCAGTTTACAATCCCTAATTTTTTATTTTTTTACTCCTACAGCACCTGGTCTTCCTAGGTGGTCTCCCATCCAAGTACTAACCAGGCCCGACCCTGCTTAGCTTCCGAGATCAGATGGGACCCGGCGTGTTCAGGGTGGCGTGGCCGTAGACAAAATATGTTTTTAGAAACCCTCTCAGTGGATCTGCAGCTGAGTGTTTTGAGCCCCCGGCTGCTCTGCTGTACCCCGTTCTGTATGCACGGCACAGACCCTGCCGAGCCTGTCACAGTCAGCAAACAATGTCCGCTCTGTCAGAACAGAAAGCGAACCACGTCACACAATTCCCCTGTGAAGTATACGGCCTCCATCCCCTGCCGTCCCCAGGAAAGAACCACAGGGCCGAGGACCCAGGAGGAAAACACTGCCCGGCCTTCGACACTCTGAAATCACCTTCTAGTGAGCGAGGGACCCAGTCACGGCAACTGTACGCCACCTGCTAAACAGAGAGGGCGCACGGGTTTATTCTCTGTAAAACTGGAGAGTGTTTTTGCATTTCTCTCTCGGTGTGTTCACGGATGTCTCTCTCCGGGAAGGTGGCGTTTCATCAGATATAATTCAGGGCTCGGCACAAACGGCTTTTAGCGACAGACTGAGCAGCAACAGGGGAACGCCACGGAAATGACACGGCGGTTTGTGTGAACGCTGGCAGTTCGCGCCTGACTGCGGAAGCCGAGTCTGAATCCTGAGGCTTCTGCTCAGCCTCTGCTCCTGCAAGGCTCGCGATTCATAAAGAAAGCACTTTGGGGTGGGGGGGAGGACTCCTCTGGGACTACGGTATGGTGCTGGCAACTCCTCCTGGGTCTCTCTACCTCTCTCTCCTCCCTCCCTAGCTCTTCACACACACACACACACACACACACACACACACACACACACACACACACACACGCACCCCGCACACACACGAGGCATGAAAAATATGATCTTCAAAAGAACTTCATGAAGCGTGTGCCGCCCACCCAGGCGAGGCTTGCTGAGTATTCGCATGAAAGAAGAACGTGGATTTCTTCCCAATCTGCCGTCTCTGTAGCTCTTGCTGCTGTAAGATGCTATGATTCGGGGTTTTCCCCTCGCGACGTGACTACACGTTTTATTTTAACCTTTAAAGGGGATTTTGCCCACCTCTCGCCTCATAAAAGACGAAATGCTATTTTTATAACCAAGCCACCCTGGTTTTGTTTTCTCGGATATCCGAGAGAGGTCAACAGGAGGGGAAAGGGGCAGCTTCCCCTCCTCCCCTTCCCGCCCATGTTCGGTAGGGCTGGGGAGCGCCCAGACGCGGTGGGTCCTCCCCTCCCCCGTCTGGCAGAGGCGGCAGGGCGCCCCGCACTGCGCTTTCTCGTCTCCCCCTCCGTCTCCCCCGCACCACTCTGGGTTTGCAGCACCCTGAACAAGCGAGCCTCTGTGTGGTGCCACCGCGAGCTGCCCGTTCTAACGACGTGCGCCTTACGGCCACGGTGCCCATGTTTACCTTGGAGAAAAGTTCGTCCAAACGAGCATTCAAAGTTCCGGCAGAGTCATCCCTCTGCAAGGCCGCGCTGAGGGGTTTTCCTCCTTCCTTCTCGGCCTGTAAACGAAGAGAAAGAAAGTTAGGGAAAAAAAAAAAAAAGGCAGATGGATAAAGACTGAAAGCTACTTATCCAGTTCATGGTAAAAACGCTAGCACGTTTATGCCCAACGCCGGGCTTTACATTCCTCCCCGGACAAAGCAGGGAAAAAACTACTTAGAGTGGTGAATAAACCAAAAAGTTTCTCCAAAATAACAGCCAGGTCAACGTCTGATCCAACATCCACCGCTCGCTGCCCCGCACTTTCCCCTTTGACGACAGACGCGTCTATGGGCAGCCGGAGTCACGTGAGAATTCACATAACCGTGGGGCAAGCTGCTGCGACTTGTCTCATCGAAAGGGTGAGGCACGGAGACCGTGACCTTGATGACACGCAGATGGCCTAGTCCCGGGGGGCCCTCCTCCACTCCGCCGAGGACACCGGGAAGACGCGAGGAATGGGGGAGAGCACCGGGCGGCCCCCTCCCGGTCCCTCCGCCCGTCGCCCCTCGGTCCCGTCCCACCACCGGTGGCCCTGCTCTGATTGTGGCGCCTGCCTTTCCTCCCGCCCCCCGCCCTCTCCAGTTCCCGTCCCACGTGCTAATAAACACCTCTGTGTTAAACCTCGTTTTACGTAGGACAGCGTGAGAGGCGCCCTGTGAGAGGGAGGAGGAGAGAGAGATGGAATGAATGAACAAACAAATGAACGAATGAACATGTTGATGCCCCAAGGAGACTGTCCTGGCTGTTGACGAAGATGCGGAACTTCTCCATTATTTTAACAGACTGAGGGATGATCCCTGATCTGCCAGACAGGAACCTGAGCAGAACGCGAGCCTCCTAGATCTGCATCCGGCGAGGTTCTCCTATGGGGCCACACGTGAGCCCCACGGCCGAGTCCACAGCTGATTCCTGTCATCTGGAGGTTCATCTACTGTCTCCCAGACACCTACCAAGAGACAGACGGGTGCCTTTGATTGGTAATCAGCTACATCATCGTTGCCCGTCTCTTTTTAAATAGGTCTAAAAAGATCACACAGTCATGGGCTGTCTTCCTCAACACGCCACCAGGTCCTTCCACCACGAGCCACGCAGGCTCAGAGGCGAGGTCTTCGCTAGGGAAGAGCTGGACAGACATGAGCCTCTGCCGAGCCATTGTTTACTCCTTCACTGGATTTCACATCGAACCCTCTCCTGAACCCCTGCCACACAGATATATTTAGACTGCGAACCTCTCTATTTCCCCGTGTCGTCATGGGCGATCCCAGAGAACTCACCTGAATTTATTAGAAATAGGAGCAAGATTTGATTACCTAACGCGAATTGCTGCAGTAGAAAAATAAAATGCATAAACGGTTTTCTTAAAATGTCAAATCTTATTAATATGTATTAGAAATAATGTTTGCATACGCTTTCTCTGTTACTAGATGCGAATAAAGAGTCTGATTTGAAAATTAAACGTATGACTTGATAATTAATTTAATAATATAAAGTGGTACATAATTTTGCATTTTCCCATCAAAATACGCATTTCGTGAATTAAAAATATTCGAAAGGAACGAGGTAATGAAGATGATGTGGTACTGCCATACGGTAGATATGTAGGTCAACGGAATAGAATTTAGTATTTAGAAATAAACCCATCTATCTATGGCCAACTGATTTTTGACAAAGGTGCCAAGACTGTTCAGTGGGGAAAGAATAGTCTTTTCGGCAAAGGCTGTGGGACAACTGAACAGCCACATGCAACAGAATAAAGTTGGATCCTTAACTCAGACCGGATGAAAAATTAAGTCAAAACGGATCAGATAAATGTAAGAGCTACAACTACAGAACTCTTAGAAAAAGGAAATGGGGTAAATCATCCGCTCAGATCTGGAGTTTCAGACATGACACTCAACACACGAGCAGAAAAAGAAAAAAATAGATGCATTGGACTTCATCAAAATTATACAGATTTTTCTTTAAAGAACACTATTAAGAGAGTGAAGAACTTATAACAATAATAAGACAACCTAACCAACAATGGCAAAGGATCTAAACAGACATTTCTCCGCATGTACAATGGCCACTAAGCACATGGAAAGATGCTCAGTGCTATTAACCATTGAGGAAATGCAAATCGAATCTACAATGGAGTACCACGTCATACCCATCAGGATGGCTGTCGCCAAAAAGTCCAAGGTTGGCGAGGACGTGGAGAAGCCGGAACCCTCCCACCCACTGATGGAAATGGGAAACAACGCGGCCTCCATGAAAACAGGCCGGGTGTCCCCGGACAGTTCACCATCAGAGTTACCCACTGACCAGCAGCTCCGCCCCTAGGTGCATACCCAGAAACGACAGCGCGTGCACGCACAAACGTGTCCTTGGATTTCGTGGCAGTGTTATTCGTAACAGCCCAAAGTGGAAAAGTACAAATGCCCACCCACTTATCAGTCATGTCACGACATGGACGGGCCTTGAACACATGCTGCTACAAGAACTCTCAGCTCAACACGATTACATGTACGTGAAATGTCCCAAACGGGAACACATGGGAGGGACAGAAAGATCGGCAATGGCTCTGAGCTGGGGGAGAGGACAGTGACCGCTGAGGGCTGTGGGGTTCTTTCCGAGGTCATGAACATGTTTTAAAATCCATCACGGTGATGGCTGTGCAACTCTGTGAATATACTAAAAATAGTGAATCGTACTCTTTAAATGGGCGAATTGTATGGTATGCAAATTATATCTCAATAAAGCTGTTACCAAAAAAATATTCCACGGAATGTGGACATTTTAATGTCAGTCAGTTCCCAGATCGATCTTAGACGAAGATGGCGAACC